CTCCTCCAGGCCTGAGAGAGAACACAGCATACTAGCATGTAACAGAAAAAATGCCATGTGCTACATGGGAGTGTGATTAGGCAGAAGAGGCTGTTTTGCATGCTCCCTCCTGGCCCCAAAAGGAAAAGAAAAACAGATAGAAAGGACAGCACCTAAACCCTAGCACTTTTACAGTGCACCATTTACTGTGTGCATTGGTTCCCATTAGGACAACAAGATTCCTATTCAGTGCGCTAAGGGACAGAATTTCAGGACATAGCTACACATGCCATTAAGAGGATGTGCCATGTCCTTATGTCTGAAAAACTGTGGCCTCAGCCACCCCCGTATCATCTGCAAACATGGGCTGGGCAGCAAGGCTCAAACTTGCTCTTCCAACAGTGTTTAGGGCATCCTTCAAGTCTTCCAAACAATGGTTGGGCACAATATTATTTAAAAAAAATATTATTCCCTCTGAAAGGATATTATTCCCTCTTGTTGCTGTGTCTTCACTTGCAACAGCTCTGACTTGTGAAGGCTCCATCTTACTGCCACAAAGAACAGACTTTATAGGATTTTCACACTGCCTTCAGTCCTGGTATGACAATAGAGTACTGCTTGTAATGGTGCCCACTGCAGCCTCTGCATGTAGACAAAAAGGTGCATACTCCATAGTAGTGGATGTTGGCATATCACTGTTTGCAGCATTTTCCTTATGCAGTTTAGGGGGCATCAAGAGAGTGGCTAGTCATAAGACAGGTGCAGTAAGTTCTCAATGTTCAAAAAATCTTTTATGAAAACAACAGCAACTTCATATAACAGGTCATTAGATTTTTTTCTATATTAATAACAGAGGAAACTCATTTCTTCTGCTCCTCAGAAAGGAAGGGCCAAAGTTCAATCCTAAAACCTGCTGTGAATTTTACAAATCACTCCCATCTTTGCAATGGGACTACCCAAAGTCTCAGATCCAAACGCATCTAAACTGAAAGCTGAATCCAAATAGTATCACTTGTGTCTACCCCTAGTAATTCATCATATCTTTTAAATTTTTAATCTTCAACTAAAACATAACAATTAGGTTGCTATCTAATTTGTATCAAAACTAGCATCCAGTAAAATTCCTTTTATAAATGTGTGGTTTTAAGAGACACTTAAATGTTTCTCCCACTCTCCCATTCTATCACTGGTACAGGAAATAGAAAAGGTAGGGCTGAAAATGAATGCTGCTAACACAAATTCTGCTGAAATTCATTTCCATTAGATTTCCACATTGCTAGGAACTCTTTTGGCAGCCTCCCACAAAAGGCATAATAAATTACTCTTGTACCAGTAAAGGAATTCATTTCTTCTGATTCACTTAATAACAAGATGTCTGTAAATTTTAGGAAAGAGTTGATCAAAACGTCATCATATTTTGCCCCAATGTATTTTTTACATTAATTTGCCCGTTTTCTATTTATCAAAGAATAACGATTAGGGTGGTCAAGGGAAAAAAAAAGCATCAGCACAACAACTTGCATGAAATGAGCTTAGTAGACTATATGGCTGATTTGAGCTTCCAGTGTCTAATCGTCCACAGTACAAAGGTATCTCCAGTGCAATTGTCACTAATTGACAACTGCTGGAGAGACAAAGTACTAAACAGGCACAATGCACCCTTAGGCATGATCCTAGCTGTACACACAAAGTCTGTACAGTCAGTGTCTGACACACTGTTCTATCAACAAATTTCTGACTGTGAAACTGTCAACTCTAAATTAACTTGAAAAAAAAAAAGTAAAACGGGGTACAATGTTTAGGTATTAATACAAAAATACTTAGGAAATTATCAGATTAAGGGCTTACTGCCCTGAAGTGCAAATGACTCCACTAAGCATTGAGAATGTTCAGTACTTCAATCCCAAGAATAAGCCTACGTCCATAGATGTCATAAATGTCCCCTAAGCTCCAAGTTTTATCAAGGGCAACAGGATCATGTTATAAAGAACACTGCCTTCTGTTCTTATCTGCGAGTCTGTCCTATTCCTTTCACACTTTAAATACTGATGGTCTAAAAGAGGCAAAGTTATAAGAACGAGTGAGTGGACAAGGGTATAGAAAGCATGCTTCCCTTGCACCAGCAACTTCAAACATTCGATTCTTAGTATGGGTATTCATGATTACTAGGTATTTTTACTGTTGTAGACTTCATACAATGCCCAGTGAAGTCAGCATGAGTCCCCACAAGTCTGCTTTCTATGATAAAGCTCTAAGTTCTGCATGTTTTATGGCGCACATTTTCCACCCTCTCTGATATATATTTTTTTACAAGAGACAATCAGCAAATGACTTATATCTACGTGACCAACTGAATAAAGTCTGGGTAGGGAAAAGGTCACAGAACCATTAGCAATTCTGCACATATTAATATAAAAGGCCAGACTATCTCTGGCCCTAGTAAAGGAGCCAAGGAAGTAAAAGAAGGTTCCTCCTCTTGCATGAAGCAGAAAATCAAGGACAACAGAGAATAGTCTAAGTCACCACCATGGCACATCTGGGAGCCCTGCCAAAGCAACACACTGACCACTCGCTCCCGTGTGTGCCTACTGCTAGAAAGGAGTCAGCATACCCATCTTAAAGAGCGTGCCTCAGTGCTGCTCTCCAGATCTCTACCCTGGGATCTTCTTCTTGGCATATGTTCACAGCAGCCAAAGGTGACTTATTTCTTTATTTCAGGAATTTGTCCTGCTCTCAGCAGGACTGGGTAGATAAGACATGGTTCTCGGCAGCAAAACCCGGGCACAGCGCAAAGATGGTATAATCATGCCCTTGAACCAGTTTTGTCCTTGCTGTAAGTTAGAGAAGACTTGTGGATGCTGCACATTCCTTTTGGTTGGTAACAACTCCTAACTAGCCATCTGATTTGATTGGAAACAAACTGCCCTTCCACCCTTACACCTCTACTCCAGAAACAGCAGTCTATGCAATTGAAAATAAAAAATAAAATGAAGATTGTCAGGTCTAAGGCTCAACCCTGAGAAGGCTACGTGGAGGGACAGTCTGGTGAAAAGACCAAAAGCAGAACCAGAAGAGAAAAATATGGCATGTGGGAAATGGAGGAGTTATTTAAATGAGCTCTACTTTCCACAGCCCCAGTGCAACTGCCTTCAATACAACTGATGAGGGTCAAGCTTTTAATTCTGATCGTGGTGCAAATCTGATTATCATGCAATTTGGCTCCTCCCTAGCAATTCACAACCTGTCCTATACTCTGCAGGTGTGTTTGCACTATTTGCACAAGGAGTAAGGGCCAAAATCAAATAGAATTCCCTGTTTTTAACTTTTCATCCTAATATTTTATATTGTTTTATTTGATTGATTTTTAAGTATTGTCACATATCATGTTCGATTTCACTTTTGCCTAAATTAGTAGAACTTGTGATTTTACTGTATGCTTTTACCAATAACCACACCATTTAATGTTATTATTATACAATGCATACTTTTATAGGTAATCCTGTGGTATCATGTTAGCTAATGCTTTAAATTTACTATTCCTGGTCACCATGCACAAAACAGCAATCCTATTTTAAGTAATCCATGTGCACAACAAGTGAATTTAACCCTTCACAGTTTTTCTTATCAAATATCTTGGAAAAGAAAGGACATAAAAGGAGACAGAAGCTTCCCCGACCCCTTTTTTTTCATTTTTAGACCAACGTTTCACTTTCAGAATTCCCTCCCTTTGATGTGCTCTGTTTATTTTATTGGATTCTCAGAATTCTTTCATGTCTAAGACAGGCCCTTTTTATAGTCTTGTTTGATGACATCAGAACCAAAAATCCAGTGCCTCCGAAGCTGAGCAGCTTTTTGGTAAACTGATTCCCTAAAAACTATAATTGCTAAAAGGGCATTTTAGAGTTTGTCTGTTTTTTAAATTGAAATTAGGTATTTCAGAAAGAAACCACTGGAAGGAATTTCCACTGGGGGACATAAGACACTGAAAAATAGTTATAATAAACAACAGTCTTTTCCTTAATAAAGGAGCAGCAAACGTAACAGTAGGGCAGCTTTTAAATAAACATTATAGTTGATTAAAGGCACAGATCAAAGGAGTGTGTATATGTGTATACATAAATAAATGTTAGAGGTTATAAATGAATCTACTTTGCACCTATATATAGTATTCACTCTTGCAAATATTAACCAGAGGCAATACTGAGGTCTTATGCATCAGTATGAGGACCTTTTGGATATATGGTGAAAATAAATTGAAAAAACCAAGGACAATCCGAAAGTACTTATAGGATCAATCCTATGAAGTGCTGAGCACCTCCCCTACTGCCATTAAAGCCACAAGAGTAGAAGGACAAGAGTAGAAGGTATGGTACAATTTGTAGGATTGATTAGATTGTAAACGCCTAATCTTGCTGTTGAATTGAACGGGAGCCTTTCTATAGACTTCAGTGCATTTTGAATTCATGCCTTAATTGCACACTGTAGTTTAAATCCAATCTTCTTGCATCCATACAAAAACAAGATGGAGTTTTACTGCTTTTTACAGGGAGCATAAAATTATGGGTGTGCATGTGTACACAGGCTTGTGCATATTTTTAAAAATTTTTAGAAAAGATGGAAGTATTAGTATTTTCATTTATATATATATTCACAGGCCTGTATCCAATGAATTTGTTTTATGTGCACAAATGCTCTTTGAGGTTATCGATATGTCATGCATTCTTAAAACGTGTTTTTAAAATGAAACAACCAAAACTTTGAAAACAGAACATTTTGATTTAAGCTTTAGTTAACTTAATAAAAATTATATAGATCTTAATTAAGAGGTTTGTAAAGTACTTCAGCTTGTCATCTTGTTTACATTTATATGCAATTTCCTCAGAAAATCTTGTTCCAGTATCAGCTAACAAAACTGAAAAGTTTGTTTAGATTATTGTACTGCTAGATAAGATAAAAGTTGAGATAACATATTACACAGTGACCTGCTTGCCTACCAATGCACATAGTATTTTATCACTTACCCCTGAGGCTGCAGATTGTGCGCTTGGAGAGGCGTTTTTGCTACAATCATCTGAGTTAGTAGAAGACGTGGATGTTGGAGTCATAGGAACTGCATTATTATTGTTACCTGAAACGGCAGTAGCTGGAATTAAAAACAAATATTTTCCAGTATGAAAAAAAAACTTGCAGCCAATCATCTTAACATATTATATTTACCAGAACACGCCTTTGATTTATTTATGTTCTTTGGTTTTCGCTTCCTAGTCTGAATTCCTTCTTTTTTCATTGCAAGAGGCCGAGGAACCTGAAAAAGAAATCCACACAGATCATAAAATTTTGCATGAACAAGAGTCGTAAGAAATCAAATTATAATATAAAGTCAAATTATGACACCAGGAAAATCAGTTGCAATTGTCCACTTTAAAGTCTTATTTTGTAGAGATTACATCAAATCTCATCATTCAAAAATGACTACTGTTTCCTGTGTTCTAGCAGAGATTCCATAAAGGCCTAAGCCTTCATTTATCAGATAAGCAAAATGCTCATTAGCATCAGCCATTTTACCTGAGAAAGGACAGCCGGGTTAAATTGTAATGCTTTACGGATTGGTCCTGAAATGAATGTATGCAAGTGGGGAAAGCCACTTACGATGGGCCTGTGCCTGTTCCTACTGGCACCTAATTGTATAGATCAGGCTTCTGAATAAGTATTTATAAAGCAGGAGCATATTTAACTTAGCAGGCATTGTTGTAAGTAGTTCTCTGTGTGCATTAACATATGATATTCAAATTTATTTCTATACAGAAAAAATGCCTAAATATCTGCTTTGTATTCTGGGTCATTACAGGCATAATTATCATGCCCTTTAAGTGGAAACTACATACTTAAAATACTGAACTTAAGTTTAATATATTTAAGAATACAAACTGCTGAAAATATAATTAAGGACTGTACTTGCTGTGACTGTAGTGCTTACAGCCGTGATTTAATAATCTCTTCGGAAAAAAACCCCAAACACTGGACCAGTCACTGGTAAATTCTGCTACTCTGATTCTTCAAACACTTGTGCAAGCATGTAATTTTACCCACAAATGCATAAGAGGTTCCAAGGTCTAGCCCTAAATGTATTCCATTATATTCACAAGTACAGTTACCTTCTTGCAACATTATTATTTGTCTAAGGCTCAGTCTACACTTCCAAAAGTTTTGCCAGCATAGGTATATGCATTTGGAGTGTGAAAAATATTCTTTTACCAGTATAGCTTATTTTGTTCAGGGAACTGGTTTCAATTATATCTTTTTTGCTGATGTAAGCTGCATCTCTATTGGGGAGGGGAGCTGCCAGTACGAAAATTATACCAGTATAGCTATACCTCCAAACACTTTAAATGCTCTTAATTCACTGAAAAATTATAAGCAACTCTGTCTCCTGCATTATATGATAAGTAGTTTTTTTCTTATAACTCAACGTAATGCGCATTAATGGAATTTTTAAGCTATCTTATTTAGACTTCGACTCTACACCATTAAAGTCAAGCTTTGTCATTGACTTCCATGAGGTCTTAGACTTTGCTCCTGATAGTACTTGGAACACTGAAGTTAATAGAAGTTCCATACTACATCCATCGGGCTGTAATTAAACAGACATAGACTGAAATAGCCCCTGACAATATTGAAGTGGCTGCATACCCCATGAAGTTTCATGTAAAGGCCGCAGGCATTGCATACTGGCTCGCCTTCTGCATTCCGACGCCACAGGGTGGTGGTTGTGGTGTGACAGTTGGCACAAGACAAACCAAGCCGCCTTGATGAAGGCTAGAGACAAGCATGAGTAAACACAAAAATCAGCGAACAAATACAGTATAAACACAGTGCTTACATATTTTGCATGGAAAAGGGGAATCTACCAGTGACTAGATTTTAAAATGCATTGTTGCAAATGCAGCTAGGATAACGATTAGTTTTCTACTGCTGCTTCACAGTATGGCCTAATAAAGTCTCACTAAAGCCCAAAATTAAGTTATTATAGTCATTTTATAGACTGTAAAATTGATTAGAAGAGATTATGAGATGTCTGAAGTTCTAGATAAGTCAATCACAAAGGTAAAATTAAAACTCCGAAGTCCCTGATCTGAGGTCTTATGCTCAGACCACCAGACACCTTCACTTTCTCTGACAAGGTGAATATGAAAGCCTCTTGCCAGAGTTGCATAAAAAGAAAACTGGCCAAAGTCTACAAATTTCTTCTACAGAACTTTCAAACCGTTCTCCCTCCTCATAACATGCTACTACAACGTAATGGTGAAAAAAATCAGCTTCTTTTAATCACCTTCCCACATGAGCACAACAGCTGTGAAAAAGGAATTTTGTAGTATGTTAGCGATTCTGTAAAAAGCAGAAAAGACAGCTTAATTTTCATGTGCTGAACTTCACTTGAAGGGCTGAGAATAGCAAATTTCTATTTTGACAAAGAAAGGAATAGGGAGTGGATATCAAAGGGCCTGAGTATGTACATCAGTGTTTTATTTTGCAAAAAATTTTTAAAAAATTATCACCAAGTAAAAAATAACAAACTTCAGGAATGTGAATTACAGAACAGATCTTTCTCTCTTAATGTTCTAAGAAATCAGAAAATCTATGTGTGACAACAAGGTCCATCTTACAAACAAGGCATTTATGACACTCTTTAGTGGAGTTTGGAGCCAAGATGAAGCAACCCTGTATCAGAAATGGCCATATAACAAAGAGCTTTATGACTGCAGGCTATATATCATAAGTGAAGCCAGTCCTCATAAACATGTGAAATGAAGGTGAATGGGTTATAAAAGTTCCTGTAACAAGTGATCTCTTTTACATTCATCACAAGCAAGGAATTCAAGCTACCTCATAAATCTGTTATTTTGCAAAGTATTGCATTGTCAAAAAATCGGTGTGCAGTTATGTGTTTGCAAGCTGAACAATTTTGCATAGAAGAGTGAGCTTCAGAGAACCACATACATCCTGTCATGACCATAAATAAAAAGCTCACAAGCAGAACTAATTAGGTGGGGATACACCCTTCCATTTGGAATCATTTATTGCTGGTTTGCGAGATATATTTGGTGACCTTTGATACCACTGAGACACCTACCAAATGGAAAAAAAAATGTCTGAGAATAAAAAGAAGTTCAGACCCACAGTTAGGTTTCCATTCATGTTACTTAACAGTAAACTGTAATTTTGTATCTAAGAAAGAGAATTATAAATTAAATATAAGTGTCTCAGCTGGGAATTATATAAATAAAAGTTACTTGTCACATTTTGAAAAAAAAAATTCCCAGGCTGTAGTATAGACTGCAACACTGGCATTAAATACTTACATAGTTTTTAAGTTTTAAATTAATAGCATTGAAATAGAACTTCTTGTCATGTTAATTACTAAGAGAAAATAAAAGAGTGTGGGGGCCCCAATTCTGGGCATTTCTTAAGACAAAATTCTTACTGAACTCAACAGGAATACTGTAAGATAAGAACTGACCCCAAAGCATATGTTGCATTTACTTTCTTGGTGAGTGACATACTATTACAAAATTCACATAGTTAGACCTTATTTCAATTTTCTTTTTGTTTTCCTTTACTTTCCATTTTCATGTACTTACACATCTCAATTTATTCTGTATTTTATACAGCTATAATTATTTGTTTTGTTCTTGCATATAAACTACTTTATTTACAAAAAATATAAAAGTAAAGAACTAAAATAGCTACTCTGCTTCAGGAATTTTACTATGGTCCTACGCGAAAGCAGGACAGTGCTCTGAGTGTGCTTATCGTTATCACCACATTTTCCATTTTAACCTATTTCCAAGTTTGTGCATATACAATCACACTCAATATACAATTAGGACCCTTGCATGAGAAATGGCTTATTAAGAGATTTCTTAGAACACTGCAAGCGTTTGTTTTGTTGTCGTGTCAAAATGAAATAATGCTGCAGTCTGGTTGTGTTCCATCTCCCGCCCTTCCCAAAAAGGAAAAATGAAGCTGATCAGAAATCTCACCACCCAGATGCCCAGCTGGCATATATCTGTGCGATGCCATAGCACTGAAGCCAGCGGAGGTCAGACATTAGGCACAAACTGGGGGAATGGCTCGGTGTCTTGTCTTTGTTCCCTACTTACTGACATTTGCTAAATAATCAGTTTCAAAAATAGGCATCCAATACTTAACTTCTGAGTTAAATTCATCCTTTGGTTTAAACAGATGTTGACCTGATGAAAAAAGTGGGGTTCTAGAAAGGTCATTGGCTTGTTTTCTTCCAGTAATGTGAAGTGTTGGAGAAAGTGATAGAATCATTATTAATTTTTTAAAAAGGGGATTTATTTTTTATATTACTGAACTATGAACACACAGACAGACTGGGGTGGCTGCAAGGCTCTTGAAAGTTTGATCAGGTTGATACACTTCCCACATACAAGGATCCAAACATCAGCTTGGATTTTACCAGTATGATTTATTATAACTAATCCATTACTGGCCATTATTGAAAAGAGTATTCTCCTATATGTTTGTTCTCCACCCAGTTTTATTAAACATATAATGCAACTCTTCCCTTGCTAAGTGTTCTCTTTTCTTATTTAATGCCAGCTTTGAGTTATAAATGGGGGTTCTAGTTTTTAATATTTATTTCCCTCCCCCTGGTTTTCAATGTCTATTTCTCAGACAAACTTCGATTCATTTTGGGGAGTAAAATAAAACAAAGGCTATCATCATTGTTTAAACAATTGGTTTTCTTTGAATGATATATAAAATGTCCCTGTTCTCCCAAGAAATGAATTTGCAGCAAACAAAAGCTGGTCTTCAGGAATTCTTAGCTCCCTGAACAAACTATTTTCGAAATTGAAAAAAAAATCATTGAAACTTCCAGTATTTTCAGGGCATATTTTTTAATAAAATCTGTGAGGCTGCACTGTCAGGGCTTATCAGTTTAAAAAGCCAAATTATAACCAGTCTACACGCAACCAGCTCAAAGGGCTAAGGGTTATTTCCCCAGTCAATTATGGCATAAAGAGGAGCCAGAGAGGGAAGCCAAATGAAGTAAGGGGAAGGCAGCAAAAAAGCTGCTTTTTGACTTGCAGGCAAAACAGGGACCTTTTGGCCTAGGTGCTGGGCAGAAAGAGCACTGTGGTTCGTAGTTTAGCTAGAGCACAACCAGGTAACTTGGCTTCAAGCAGGATTGCCTGCACCTTTGCCAGAGGTAAAAGGGCTTTTCAGTTGCCTTGAACTAAATCTCTGCTTGTCGAGAAACTGGGCCACTCTCTGAGCCAGGAGCTTGACACGCTGGGGCAACTATTTTCATTTCTAAATAGGAGAACTTTTACACTCTTTTCTTCTATGCCTGAAGAAGGGTGCATGTGCCTGAAAGCTTGCAAATAAAGATTTTTTAAAAAAATTGTTGCAAAAATCGAGTTGGTCTAATAAAAGAGATCATCTCTCCCACAAGTTCTGATTCCTGGGGCAACTACTGGCACTTGGCTCCAGTGACATCTGTGGGCACGGAAGAGGAGAGTTGCCTTGGGTGAGGCAGTGCACACTCAAGGGGAGCCAGGGAGGCCAGGACTCACCACTCTCTTCTGGGGTTTGATGAGGGGCCTGCTCAGGCCGTTCATCTTGGTGTAGAGCCCGCAGGCGTTGCACAGGTAGTTGCCGGTGCCGTCCCTTCTCCACAGCGGGGTCTGGATGGAGCCGCAGTTCACGCATTCCCGGCTCTCCGACAGGTCCTCCAGCAGCTCTGCCGGGGACACGCCAGTTAGCCCCGCGGCTCCTACCCGGCCCGGCCCGGCCTGGCCCGCGGGGCCGTGCGGGAGCGGAGCCGGGCCGGGCCCCCCGCACAGCCCCTGCCCGCCCTGCTCCGGGCCGGGAGCGGCAGCACCCCTGCAGCCCCTGCCCCGGAGCCCAAGGACGGCGGTGCCTGGAGGGGGAGCAGGATCGGGGCTCTGCCCCCTGCGTGAGACCCCCCCCCCCATGTCATCTGATGAGGATCAACCCAGACCTTCCCAGCGGGGTTGCTGCAGACTGGGGCGAGGTCCCATGGCTTCCCCCCCACCCCCTTTTTTACTTTTTATTTTATTTTATTTGTGTGTGTGTGTAAGGCGCAGCAATAAATCAAAGTGCTGCCGCCGGAGCGGGGGGGGGGGTTGGTTTGGTGCTCTGCCCCCCTTGCAAACAAATAAAGGCCGGGGGGCTCCCAGGGCCTCGCGACCCCACTGCGGGGAATCGCAGCGAACTGGGGGGAGCCGCTGCCCAGCAGGCAAGCGCCGGCCGAGGCTGCGCCGGGGGGCTGGCTGCGGCGCTCTGCGCCCGAAACCCCCGCGGCGCGCGGAGCCGGTGGGAGACGGGCTGCTCCGGCTCGTTAGGAAATGCAGCGAGAGGGAAAATGCTGAGCATTTGATCACAGCGCTCTGCTAACCACTAACCCCCTAACCAGGGGCAGAGGACAAGGAAAAGCCAACTCTCCAAAGAGGCGCTTCCCCCCGCGGCTGCCTCCCCTCGCCGCACTGCCCAGCCCGCCCTGGCTATTGCAGCGCCGCGACTGCAGGGCCAGGATTTCAGGGTCACTTTCTTTCCACGCCGCTTTCCTGGCCGGAGAGAGGAGGAAGCCGGCTTTGTGGGATCACAGCCTCGCGAGCCATTCGTGTCCCTTCCCTGCCCTGATCCGCCTCCTTGCTTCATCATTTCGTTACTCCCCTGCGCCCCGCTCATTAGGGAAGCGAACGAGATCTTGTAAACGTCAAAGAA